TGGCTTTAGCCCAACTGCAGCTCAGAAATCCTGGGCTCTAGCCATTTACCAGCCTACCATCCACCATCTGGCAGCAGAGATTACAGGTGGGTTAGCTCCACACCTGGCTAATATTCTTCTTTTAAAAACGTCTCTACAGGAGTTTCCAATGATTTGTGTCCAAATCCAGTCAATTTATCACATAGTAAATGACTTGCTGTTCTAGTAAATTATATGCTCCTCTTTGAGGGGCCAAATGAAGGGCGCTGAAGAGTGTCCCAGTGGACATGTTGTCTTTGTATTTGAATGTGTGTGTATGTGTCCAACCCAAACCTGACCAGATCAAGAATCCTCTTGACAACACATCTCTGTATCTTCATCAATGTAAGGATGAGTAGCACAAGTGCATCAGTGGCAGTAAAGGTAAAACATAGACCTAAGCACTCAGCAGACTCTCATGAATTCTTTCCAGTGATGCAGGTTGCAGTTCATCCATGATTTTCTCTCCTTTTGGGCAACTCCAGTCTGTGCCCTCCCCATGCATGATCCACAGGGGCTCTGCTCAACGTGCTGGGGGCCTTCCTTTAGCTCTCCTGACATTGGGTGACCACCAGCAGGAAATGTAGGCCGTCCATCCCTTGCTCTTGCTGTCTTTCTGTTTCCCCTGCCTCTCTGCTGATATCATTTGTGTTGCTTTACTGTACATATGCACAGGTACCATGCTGCAGCCTGCTCAGACTCACTACCCTCACCACCACTGCCCTTGAGGGGACCCACAGCTTGAATTCTTCAGAGTCTCTGGTATCCCATGACATGCAGCACTAGCAGATAGATATTCATGTTCAAAAGACAGGTTCTTGATTCAGGGAGATGCTTTGTTTGAAAAGAAAAACAATTTTCAAAGGCAGCCAAATGTATCAATGTCCTATGAGGCTCAGCACTCCTAAGCATGAGCTCATATTGGTCCCATCTGTCTAATTCAATAGCCCCTGGCATCAGTGGGAGCTCTATGCTGAAGAGAAATGTTCCATTCTATCAAACTATGAGAGGCAGGGTGAAATAGGAAAACATTGAACTTGGAATCAAGGAGAGCTATGTTTGCCTCCTGTCTCGGACAATTCAAGCTGCGTGACCCTGTGGGAATCATTCTGTGCCTTAGTTTCTTCACTTGTAAGAGGTGGGAATGGGATTGGATAGCTTTGAAGGTCCCTTCCATATCTACGTCTATGATTCTTCAAAGTAGATGGTGGCTCAGCTTCCCAAGGCTGAATTATCCACATGTAAAGCCCAGCTCTCTATCCCTGCCCCCTCCCTCCACCCAGTGTGGCTGCACTGCAGAAAACCAGGTTAAGACTTTGGGCACTCTGGGTCATCTGGCTGCCTCTAGTCAGACATTTCTGGGCCTCAAGTTTCACTGTGAATGCCTCTAGGAAAAGAGAGCCCAAGGGCACTCACAGACTCCCATTATTACAGTATTTTGAGGCTCACAAAGTACTTTCCACATGACAACCCATTTCGACAGATGAGGAAACTGAGGCTCATGGAGGTAGACTTGCTGAGAAAGTATCAAACCTGAAACTCACGATCATTTTTTTCCACTAACCCACACTACCTCAGTTCACTTCAAATGATCATTGATTTTAGGGCTGAAGAGACCTCAGGTCTAGTACAGCTCTCTAACTTTACAGAGCTGGAAGCTGAGGCCCAAAGTGGTTGAAGGACTTTTTCAAGGTCACACAGGTGGTCAGTGGCTGAGCCAGGCCCTTTGATGCCCAGTCCAGAGTTCTATGCATTGGACCATCCTGAATGAGGAACATTAGCCATACCTTATAAGGTCCAGACAGTGAGGAGGATGGACTATTTGACTGGTGAGGTCCCTTCTGTTGAGGGACTTTGGGGCAGAGTAAAAGTGGTGAGTACAAATGCTCCTGATTAAATACACAGGCTTCTCTATTTTAGGCAGGCTATCACAGAACATCAGGAAGGGTCTTGCCTTTCTGACTCAGGTTAACAACTGCTCAGCTCAGGGTTTCTGAAGGAGGACGTTATTGCTCAAGGCTTGTTTATAATGAGACACGCTATACTCACGTGCCATATTTACCTTGAGGACTCAGGCTTGCCTGAGGCTCCCAAGGGCTATGACATACTCAGGGTCAGAGATTGAGAGAGTATCAGAAGCAGGATTGGAACAAGGTCTTTGGGACTCCAGGTACAGTGCTCTCTGCCCTCAACCAAGGTATCTCTCATGGTGCCTTTTATAAAATTACTCCAAAGGAAGAAAACCCAAACTGCACCACCTACACCTTCCCAAATTCATCAACAACCCAATTAGCCATCAGAAAGAAGCACCGCCTGTAATCAAGCCATAGCGCTTGCCACAAAAACACATGTAACACGAGAAGAGCCATACTAAAGATGCCGCCTCAAAATGGTGACCAATTTAGCCAGCCACTCTCCTGGGAAAGGAAAATGAAACCCTAGGAGCCTTGGGCAAAGCCCATGAAAACCAAGCCAGGGTTATAATTAGGTGAGTTTGAAGAACACACCAGCTGTGCCAGGCGGAGCTTATCGGGAGGTGCATCACAGGGGCCCCTCTCCAGAAAGGAGGTCTTTCACAGGGGCCAGGAAGGCTTTTCTGGTCACAGCCCACTCCATATTTCCCTCACTCTCCTCAAAATAGAACTGCATGGAATTCCATCTTTAGAGTCTCACGTATTTGACTGACCACAGTGTAGAGGGAAGAACTGGGCAACATCTCCCAGATATTTACCGGCTACTCTGAGGGGCCATCTCTGCATGTAAATTGGGGAGGGTGATAATAGCTGTAGCCCTCAGCTCCCAGGGTTCTTGTGAAGGTCAAAGGAGATGATGAATGTGAAGGGCTTTAGCATGTAATGGTCAGTTTATTATGATGATGATAATTAGCACTATGATGCTATCTAGGCTTCCTCTCTTAGAATGCCCATGAGCCGTGGCAGGGTTCACATGTAAGCCATTGGTCACATCATAACTTGACATCCTGAGCCCTTGCTTACCTTCCTGGCACTTATCTAGGAGCAGAGCACAAAAAGGATATGGGATTTGGATTGCGGTGGCAGCATTTGGAAGCATTGAGCCATGCCCTTGGAAGGAGGTTTGGAAGCTGAGAACAACAGGGTGGGAAACAGCTCTGTGGAGGCCACTGTTGGTGGAAAGGGATCATAGAAAGGGGATGTGGAAAAGGCATTGAGGACGAGTTTTTACATATTGCCCTGTTCTGGGTGGGGCTACTGTTAAAGGAGGCATGCAGTCCCTTCCCCTTTTCTTGAGAGGCAGGGTTGAGTAGAGGGTAGAGAACCAACCTGGAATCAGGGAGACCTGGGTTCGTGTCTGTCTCTAACATATATATCCTGGCTGTGTGACCCAGGAGCTCTAGACCAGAGGTGTCAAACACTGCCGATGTGCACCAGGTTAACATGTAATTGGGAAACATTTCACAAAATAAATAAAAATGTGATAGACCCTAGGCTAATGTTTATATGTGTTTTTCTAAGCCAATCTGCAGCCACAGGGATCCTTATGAATGACAAAGTAGTTCCTGTTTCCAATCGGGTTTTGATGCTACTGTTCCAGGCACCTCATTTGGACTGTTAGTTGTCTAGAAGGTAGCAACCTGCCTTGGTGGAGGGAATTCCCTCACCTAGGAGGTTCTTCATACTGATGATCTAACCTCTCCAGCTTGGGGTTTATGAGCCTGCAAGAGGGCACATTTAGACTTGAAATTGAAAGGTCTGCCTGTGGAGAAGTGGATGAGGGGTTTGCTTCTCCCTCTTTGAGATCTCCAAGCTAAGGCTGCTAGCCTTTGTGTCTCAGGTGGAGCTTATCTCCTGATTCCCAGCCTATGGCACTTTTTCCTACACCCTATCACCAGATCAAGAAGTTTGGCTTTTCTTTCTTGTTTATTTTGTGGTTAGATTTGTCTAGTTCAGAGAGGAGGAGGTTGAGGTCCCCACTGGTATAGTTTTGCTGTCTATTCCTTCCTGTAACTCCTTGAACTTCTCCTCTAAGAATTTGGATGCTATACCATTTGGTGCATATATGTTTAGTAGTGATATTACTTCATTGTCTATGGTGCCTTTTAGCAGGATGTAGTTTCCTTCCTTATCTCTTTTAATAAGATCTATTTTGGCTTTTGCTTTGTCTGAGATCAGGATTGCTACTCCTGCTTTTTTTTTTTTTTACTTCAGCTGAAGCATAATATATTCTATTGCATCCTTTTACCTTTACCCTGTGTGTGATCCTCCGTTTCAAATGTGTTTCCTATAAACAGCATACTGTAGGATGATGGCTTTTAGAAGTTTGGCTTTTAAGAAACCTTTGAGTGGGCCAGGCTGTGGCCTTTGGGAAGGCACCTTGGGTCTACACCATTAGAGAATTCCACCACCCCCACACCTCAGGGACAGAGAAAGCTCCTAGAACCAGACCTGGCTGAACAATGGAAAGGGAAGAAGGCTCAAAATGTCGGACCTCCCTCACAGGCTATGGCTTTTGGCCTTTTGGACTTAGGCATTTAGAGCGGGAAGGGGCCTCAGGGGACTTTTCTAGTCCAATGCTGCCTTCCTGGTGGGTGGAGGTGACCTCCACTGACCCAGGACATCTTTCCACACTACTATGGATTTCCCTCCTTTCTAAGAGCTAGCACTTGAGGGGCTGGTTTAGTCTGGGACCATGGCAGACGGCAGTTCTCTGCCCACGTAATAAATACAAAGAAACCATCTTCGGGAAAAGAAAATAGTCTCTTATGATTAAACCTCAAATGTGGCCCTGGTTGAGGAGCCCCTCCCCCATCCCCACAGACCCACAGCATATCAGTACAGGGCACCCAAAGCATTCAGCAACACAGAAGCTGGGCAAGGGGGATGAGCACAGCCAGGGTGTCACTGAGCCCGTGTTTGGGGGCATCAAGGACTCAAGGAAAATTCACCCCATGGCTGGCTGCTTTCTCACAATTGCACCAGTTCTGAGATTTCTCCAATAAATTGTTAATAGTGTTTTTGCCTTTGTTTGCTCGGGAACAAGCCAAGGAGGGAGAAGGCACCGGCAGCAGCGGTTACAATCCCAATGGCACCAATAGCTCGGTTGGCCTGTAAAGAAAGAAAATGAAACAAAAAGGTCTCCTTTGGAAGAGGATCCAGTGGTCCCAGTAGCAGCCTGTTCCTCCAGTCTTTCCTTTCCCCTGCTCAAGATAAAGGTCATTTCTACTGTGGCTTTCATGCATCTGTGAAGATGATGAAAGTTTTCTTAACTCCTCAAAAGAACTCGAAGTCCAATGAATTGTGGTTAACTCACACAAATGAGTTGGGGAGAGGGGCAAGCTGTTGAGGCTGGGTCAACGCAGAGGAGAATATCTTGGTGTTCCATTTACTGTGAGGAACAACAGCCCATGGGGACAGGGAAGGAGCGTAAGGGAATCCGAGCATGTGACTGGATTGATCCACTGCCCCTAATTTCATGAAAAGTCAATATGGGTGCATATTATCTTGTCAAGTTAACTTCTCATGCAGACAACTAAAATGAACCAGTCTGAGTGCCGTCCCTTCCCTCAAAGGACTTTAGCCATATCTGTCCTTAAGGGCAGTCTCTACCAATCTCATCATGATATGTATGGCTAAGTGGTACAGTAGAAAGAGCCCCAGGCCTGAAGTCAGGAAGACCTGAATTCAAATCCAGCCTCAGACACTTAGTTGTGTGACCCTGGGCAAATCATTCAATCTCTCTCAGCCTCAGTTTGCTCATCTGTCAAATGGGGATAGTAATAGCACCTACCTCCCTGGGTTGTTGAGAGAGGATCGGATGCGATAATTGTAAAGTAGGTTGTAAACCTTCAAGTGCTACGTAAATGCTAACTGTGATTATCATAACATTATCCTTAGAGTCAGAAAGGTCTGGATTGAATCTTGCTGGTTCAAACACTTGCTCCTTGTGTTTTCTGAAAGTCAGTTATCTTTTCTGAGCTTCAATATTAGCAGCACTGACATCGAACATCTTTCCAGGTTCCATTTAGCTAATGTGCTTCAAAGTCTTTGGCAAATCTTTGAGCTTTATGGAAATGCTAGTTATTTATTCATTGCGCCCTGCACAGGGCTGGTGGCACTGGGTTTAGAAAGAGCAATCAGTCATCAGCATGTTGTGGAGGAAGCAATGTCAGGACTTACTGATCGACTGGAATTTAGAGAAAGGGAAAGAGACCCAACACTGGTTCTAAACTTGGGATGATCTCACTACCAGAAGCAGTGAAGCCTGGAAATGGAAGCAGGGCTGGGGCAAAGATAATCGACTTGTTTTCAGACAGGTTGAGGAGCAGATGCCCAGGGGGGGGTCCAGGTGGAGCAATCCTGGGAGCAGCTGGAGCCATGGGTTCGGGGCTTAGAGAGAGATCCCAGACCTAAAGTGGGAAGGCACCTCTAAGAAGCCTAGTCCAAGCTCCTCATTCTGCAGATGCAGAAGCTGGAGCTCAGAGAGGGTAAAAGACTATACCAAGGTTGCACAGAAAGAAAGTGTCTGAGGCGTTATCAGAACCCAGGTCACCTCACACCAGAGCCAATAAATATACTTTCTACTGTTCCCCTCTTGAACTTGCCAAGAGAAAAGAAAACACATTTTCCCCAAGGGCAGAAACTTCCCCTCCCGGATAACCGTATCAGTTCTCTGAAGACCATAAACCAAAGCTCTGGAGTGGCAGAGAAGGGAGTTACCTGCTCTGAAATCCCTTCTCCATATCGGAGCAAAGTGACAAAGTGCTCGCAGTTGTTGACCAGCAGGTCATAAGACACCTCCTGGCCAATGAGGAATTCTGACAGGCAGATGATTTCATCTAGCGGCAGAGGAGGGTAAACATCATCATATTTGTTATTGATCCTGTAAGTGTCAGTCCCCACGACGTCTTTCAAGAGCTGCATCCGTACCAGGGCCTTTTTGCTAAATACAGACTTAGCACTTGTAAATGGAACGGGAGAGCTGTCCTCTGAAAGGGAAGTGAGCAAAGAGAGGACAGTCACTTGTGAGGGCCAGGCGGTCTTGAGGCTCTCCACCTCCCTTTGCTTTGAGCAATGACTCTGAGAATTAGAAATCATCACCATCATCATCATCACCATCACCATCATCATCATCATCATCATCACCATCACCATCACCATCATCACCATCACCATCACCATCATCACCATCACCATCATCACCATCACCATCATCATCATCATCATCATCACCATCACCATCACCATCACCATCATCATCATCATCATCATCATCATCATCACCATCATCACCATCATCATCATCATCACCATCACCATCATCACCATCATCATCATCATGACCACGATGATGACAATAACAACAAACCACAAGTACAAGTAATAAAAACAAATACAAATAAAAAAACCAAATGCAAATAATAAGGAAAACACAAATAAAACCCAAAATAACCTGCCTGCCATTTGACAACAAAATGACCCGTAGAATGTGAGCTACTGGAGGGCAGGGATGGTTTGTCATTTTGTCATTGTATCCTCAGGCTAGCCCAGGGTCTGGCACCTAGTACCACTTAAGAAAGAACGGAGGAATTAATTAATGTTATTGGATACCCTCCCTGTTCTCAGAATACAGGTCCTAGTGATCTCTGAGAATTGGCCAATCCAGGAAAATCTGTTCTGTGTGTAAAGAGCTCCGGATCATGAGCCGAAAGAAAAGATAGAATTCACAACAGAATTATTTGTAAATAAGGAAAAGAAGCTACCAGCAACAATATGATGTTCAAATAAATCCTACCACATTCATGTAATGCAATTCTTGAATGTGGTGAAGATTGACACATAGGAGGGTTATGAGGAAAGCAAAAAGAATTTGGGAAGGACCTTTGTGAAACAAATCAGAGTAAGAACAAAACAAAGCAGGAGAAGTGGAACTGCACACACTCTCACACCCCCACACACACCCACACACACACCCACTGTTCTCAGTCT